TTTTTGAGAGACAGGGAGAGACAGAATGTGAGCGGGGAGGGGCAGAGAGAGAGGGAGACACAGAATCTGAAGCAGGCTCCAGGCTCTGAGCTGTCAGCACAGAGCCTGACGTGGGGCTTGAATTCACGAGCCATGAGATCATGACCTGAGCTGAAGTCAGCCGTTCAACCAACTGAGCCACCCAGGTGCCCCACAGGAGGCTTATTATTATTGATTTACATGCTGTCTCTTTATTTTGAGGACCATCTCATTTACATTTGTTTTAGACGTTTTCTTCCAAACCTTTTGTTGATTTCTTCTACACTTTCTACTATTTTACTTTTTAATCTGTGATGCCATTTTAGGAATACTGGGTTAATTTTAATACTGTTTCATCTTATCTGTTCTAGTAGTTTTCTAGAACTCCTAATACTGCGTATCACAAAATGGCTGACTTGCACAACAGAGATTTATTCTCTCACCTTACTGGAGGCTAGAAGCCCAGAAATGAAGGTGTTGGCAAGGCCATGCTCCCTCTGAAGGCTCTGGGGAAGACTCCTTCCTCGCTGTCTTCCTAGCTTGTGGTGGCTGGTAGCAGTCCTTCCATTTCCATTTCTTGACTTGTGGCTGCATCCAGTTTTTGCCTTCCTTGATACATGGCCTTTTGTACTTTGTACCTGTCTATCCAAGTCTCCTTCTTCTTATGAAGGTATCATTCATTGGATTTAGGGTCCATCCGAATCCAATATAACCTCATTTTAACTTGATTACATCTGCAAAGACCTTATTTACAAATTAAGTGACATTCAGAGGTACCCGGGGTTATGAATACAACATAGCTTTTTGGGGAACACAGTTTAACTCATAGCACCTGTATTGTTTAATAATCAGTAATAAAATAAAATGTATCATTTTTTATTTTCCTTTTCTAAGCTATAAATATTCACTATATCTTTATTTTAAGCCTTAGTTATTGTTATAGCTTAGTTATATTGGATTCTAATATCTTTCATATTGAAAATTGTAATTATGATGTTTACCATTGTGACGTATTGTTTGATTGATTTAAATTTTAATTAGCTAATATAACAGTGCAATATTGGTCTCAGGAATTAGGTGATTCATCACTTACATACAACACGAAGTGCGCATCACAAGTGCCCTACTTAATTAATACCCATCATCCATCTAGCCCATCTTCCATTCACCTCCCTCTGTCAACTGTCATCATTAAGAGCCTCTTGTGGTTTGTTTCCTGCTTTTCTTCCCTCGCCCTTCATATGTTGTTTTGTTTCCTAAATTCCGCCTATAAATGCAATCATATTGTATTTGTCTTTCTCCGAGTGACTTATTTTACTTAACATAATACATTCTAACTCCATCCAAGTCATTGCAAATGGCAAGATTTCATTCTTTTTGATGGCTGAGTAATATTCCATTTCATATATACCACATTTTCTTTATCCGTTTTTCAGTTGATGGGTATTTGGGCTCTCTCCATAGTTTGGCTGTTGTCATTGTGACTTACTTTTAAAATGTTAATGATTACGTCATTCAGAAAATTACCATAAAATAAAAAGAGACTTTCTAATTTAAATGTCATTTTGTTCTAGCTCATTATACTTACTTATATTTAATTCTCATAAAACACTGATCTGTAACCTTTGTTTATAAAGGGTTTAGTGATTAGTATAAGTGGGATTATGGGAACAATTGGTGCTCCATGAATATTTGTTGTAGATTAACTTCCGCGTGCTACGTTGTTAAGGTACAGTTCTACCACTGGATATTCTAACCTATAAATGCTATATTTGACTTGTAGACTTTTACATTCAGCTAGCCATTTTATCTCAGAATTGTGTATCTTAATTGCCTGGACAGTTATATATTAATTGAAATAGCACATGATTCCTATTAGAAAATAACATGAAAGAAATAAAGTATTACTATTTAAAACTCTTACTCTTTTATTTCAATATTGTGTGTCTATTTTTCTCTTAGAGGGCTAATAAATTCATTAGGGTGTAAATAACTTTTTTAATGGTTAACTTTTATTCTGAGAGTCCACATATTAAGAAATGCTCTATGGAATTCCACTCATAAGAAGTAAATTATTCACACAGAGAAAATCTCTATTCTTAGGAAGTACCATTTTTTACCTTATTTTTTTTTTTTACTCCTATTACCATATTAGCATTCCTGAATGGATTTTAGAGGCATCTGGGTGGCTAGTCAGTTAGCCTCTAACTCTTGA